TATTATTTATTTATTTTAAATTTTTTTTTAAATAAAGTTTATCACGTGATGATTTACATAATTTCCTATAACGAACTCTGTCTATAACAAACTTTTTTAGCCCAGCCCAAAAGTTCGTTATAGACAGAGTGTACTGTACATACTTTTTCTTTGTAAGGGAATTTTTTGGCGTAAATACATTCGCATTGCTTTATCTCTCTGCATTATTATTCATTCGATAGATCCAGAGGAAGATATAGAAGGAAAACGTTTAAAAGGGAAGTATATCGAGTTTATGGGCATTAATTGCCTTTTGATTTTTATTATCGTTAATTCAATTAATTCAAGATTTATATTTGAATTTAACTTAAACATGTCTACCGTATTATTTACCAAAATCTATAATTTCCTAACAACTGCTGAAGAAGGAGATATAACAGCGGGTTCCGTTATTTATTTAGCAATGAAAGAGAATCCGTGGGCGAGCGAAGGTGAATTAAGAAGTCTTATAGAACAAGCTGTAGCATCCGCTAATATTAATTATAACAGAGCTTCCTCACGTTATGTGACTCTACTTGAAATTATCTCAGAAGTAAGTCATTAAAGATATATCTATATTAATATTTTTGAATGAAGTGCAGAAGTGATACCTCCGAAAAAAACAAACATGTCAGCTTAGGCATTCCATTTAGTCCCACGCCAGGAAATTCCTCACCGGGGGAGGAATGTTTAAGTTGAAAGCCTATGCTTGGTTTTATGTTGATAATTTAGTATCACACAAAGTTCTATCCGCATGATGGAGTAGCTAACCTCACAAAGAGAGAGCTTTGGTTATAATCTGACAGCGCATGCGCCCTTTGAAATATTTCAGCATTAATTTGGAATTCCAAACTAACAATTTATATCTGCACTAGTTTAAAGTCTCTTACAAAATCGTTCATAGTTTGAAAAATATCGGAGCAGTAACAATAGATGAGGAAATCCTTAATTCAGAAGAAATCTCGGAAAATATAATTAAGTTGAAGAGAAAATTGAAAAAAGACACATCGGCGCTATCTTTGGAATTGTATAGGAGAATTGGGGAGGTCACAGTTTCAGAACTTCCTTGGAATGACCCTCTGGCAAATCAAATTATTAGTGATGATTCAGATATTATACGTCTCTTGCCAGATGAATTGCGAAATATATTTATGGTTGGTATTATAAACTCGTAAGGTCTGATTTTCCCGGGAAGATAGGATCAGCACCAGATCGAATCTCCATATTATTTCATTGAATTACTCACAAAAAGCATTACAAAACATTAATTTATTAGGAACCGCTTCAGCGTATGACGCCCTCCCTTCCATCAATAGTGCAGAGGAAATGTAATGAATTTGTGCAAAATTTTACCGATGATATTGGATTCAGATTACCACAAAAGCTTTTACACGATGGGATGTGGAAGGAAACAAATGAAGAACTTGCCAACGTTGCTGAAAGGATTCTAGATACATTGTGAGTATTCCAATCTGGATATATAAAATTATTGAGTTTTGGGAGTTCTGTTAAAAGAATATACTCATTAAATAATCTTATCATTAGGCACGATGCTTGGATAAACCCTGCATTTAGGTCCAATTTTGTAGAAAAATTAAATGAAGGTACTTATGTTACTAATATAATCTTGCCTGCAATTCGTGCCTCGTTAAAAGGTCTTCCTTTATGGAGATCTTCATTTCTTAGCAATTTTGAACGACAGAGTAGTGCCAGTGCAGATAGGAGAGGGGGTGGCCGATCAGGAAAGCGACCCGATATTATGTTCGTAATAAGACATAGGGATAAAGACTATGAATTGGTCTACACTGAATGCTCACGTTTATCGTGTACAGCGCAAAAAGAAAGTGATGATGGGGTAAAACTATGGAGAGAGGCAAACGATGGCATGTTTTGGGTCCGCAAAACTTGTAAACCTATCAAGAATGAATTTGGAATAATTGGAGTACAAATAGCGGGAAGAAAAATATATTTAAATGTTCTTATTAGGGATTTACATGATGTGCATCGCTATTACCATCTCCATGAAGCAGAAATACCAGTCCAACATTCGACTTCATCTATGGTAGCAAACTTTGTGGAATCTTTATTAATTTTATGGAATATTCTGTTAGTTAATATTAGTTTGTTATATAATGCGTGTTATCAAGTTGTCATATATATATATCTGTTTATTAATAAATTAGTCGATATATTTTTTGTACACATTTTTAATATGTGTAAGACGCGGAAAAGAAACTCAATGCATTATGAAGAAAACTAATTGTCATATTTTTTTTATGTACCTGGAAAGTTGATTCGCATGTATAATTGAATTTACTCTTACATTAATGATCACCAATTTTTCTGGAAAAAATAAGCTAATTAATTATTACACATATCCGATAATTTTCCACTACATGCTGAGAATATTTGAATCGAGATTATTCGCTTTGAGATATCTACATACCTCTTCATAGTCAAATACCGCTTTCGTATCTTGAGTATTTCTGTTTATGATAATTATATGTTCTCCTTCCATAACGTGCATATATTTATTCTGGTTTTGATATTGTATATACTGCTTAGGATTCGTGGTAAATTTACCTTGAGTTTTACGTCTGTTATTTCTAGATTTGCGAGACATATTAATATCCTATTTATAATGACGTATTATATCAAAGTATTAGACATATTCAATTTTTTTTTCTAGCAAACTGATTTTAATAAAAATAAAGCATGGACATCCACATAATTCTGATCGAGACAAATGGTTACATAGAACCTTGCTTTATTGATATATAAAAAATGTTACCGAAATAACAACATAAAAATTAAAAAAAAATCATATCGCAGTTACATACTGCAGACGTAAATAAAAAAAATAATTATGTGTCTATGACACTAGCTCCGCTATTGGCGTATGCAACAATGTGATATACATTTTCAGGAGGATCCCCATTGAAAAAACTAGAGATTAGAGCTGGTGATCACATGCGTCTTTCGTCTACAGGTCCAGGTTGACAAATTTGACGAATATCAAGAGGAATGTTAGATTCTAACTGATTCTGAATTGCAGTTTGGAGATTATCAACAGTCTCATTTCTGGAAATTATAATTTTGAGGGAAACGTTATTGGCTGAAAGTTGATTATCTGGGTTATTAAGAATAACGATACAATTGAGAGTGATATTGTTGGCCATTTTCACGTTTCCTAGATAAGTAAAAATTCATTTACAATGGATGAGTCCTTATTGCAAATAATGCATAATGAACACCAGCAAACCAAACACGTTACCTTATAAAAATTGCGAAAAGATAAGAAATGATGCCTCACAAATCCAGTTTATTTATATCGCTTCATTCACTACTCGCTAGAAAAAAAATTACATGATTAGTAATTATGTTACCCCAACCATTTGCCAGATCCTTTCTTCGTAAAGCAATTCTATTAGAATCACAAGCGCCAAGAACTGAATATATTTCGTCATTTATGGGAAATTAAACCTTTCAGTCTGACGATTGCTTTTGTAGAATAAAAAATAAGACAAATTTTGGCGATCTCGGATCTCAAGTTCCGTAATATATGAATTTTGATATTATTGCTGATAAAGAACAATAAACTCTCCTCATTCATATCCTTTTTTGAGCCTCATTCATAGTTGTTCTTATCGAAAAAGCCATATACAATAAGGAAAAGGCTTTATTATTAACATTATATATGTAACAGTATCACAAAAAAAATCATTGTGAAACGAATAGTTATTATTATTAGGGTAATATTATATATGTTTCTGGACAAAAATCGCTATTACTATTTTTTTCATATCGAATATTAATATTAAATATGTTTACGTTTGTGTTTTCATGCGTCATCGAGCTAATTTGGTTATTATTAGAAGTTCGTAGAACGTGTAAGAGGTCAGTTGATATATTTGTGCGATCATATGCAGGTATATCAAAATTGGATTAACTACACATGGTTTAGATTCTTGTTAAAAATTATGTGTATTAATATTAATATATTTTTTCGATTTGTTCCTTCTCGTTTTACTAAAAATGATTCAACTAGAATTTACACAAAAAATGAATCGCGTTTTAAGTAACATATACTTGATAAAATTAATATGTCTAAAACCCTTAATACATTATAAATCACATAATCACATTCATATAATCAATAAATAAGTCATATAAAAATGGTTACTATTCAGGATTTATGTGGTTCTAAATGTAGTGAAGAAGAATGGTCTGAATATTGCTGGATGCCAGTAGTTCGCACTAATGAAACTCCTAGCGAGTGGAAAGAACGAATCTGGGTTCGCTTACAGTATTTTAGAGAAAATGATCTTTTACCTTATGAGAGTAAAGATTATTTTAAAGCGAGAAAATTAATACAATTCCCAGATGGTAACTCATATGCTCCTTGCATAGGAATTGTTATTTGTTTATCTTGTAACCAATTAGTACATACTGGAGAGTATATTAAAAGAATGGAGATACACTGGAAATTTTCATGTACCGGTAATAAATATTGTAGAATAAATTATGAGGAATATATGAAAATTAAACAAAAGCCTGAATCTGAACGCAATTTCGATAACATTGCATTAAATTATTATGAGCTGTGGAAATGTAATGCAATCAGTAGAATCGAACGTGCAAGGGAGGTTGGAAAAAAGATCCGAGCATGTACCATCATACAAAAAAAATTTATAGAATATTATTATCGCCCTGATGGAGATTGTGCTACAGAGTTGGCTAATCATTATAAAATATTACGGAGCATTCGAGAAGAAATGCGTCAGGTTAACAGCGTATAGATGGTTTGTGAAATAAATATTTATCTATTTATTAATGTATAACTTATTTATCTATTTATTAATGTATAACTTATTTATATATAATTTATCGTCTGAGGTGTTCCCGAGGCTTAACACTTTAGACTTTTATTTATTGATATCCCTGAGGGCTGGTATTTTTTTTTATTTTTCTGGAACATATATATATATTCAAGCTTAGCGGAGTTAGTTCCACTAAAAAATCTCGATCATAATTTATTTTCTTTATTACGCAATTAATGATTTGATCTCTTTTTCCAGATCTAGAGG